AACGTGAAAAACTTTCGTTGGACGAATTTTCTTGTAAACTTCATATTTACTGAGATATCGCACTTTGACGCACTAATGAGCAACCCTGTATACTATTTGCACTATGTCATACGATAATTAAGCATTGAGAGGCATTTAATTTGGCAAATTATATAAGAATTCAGTGGCATTTCTACGTATTTTATGCTTTGGAAAATTTAAGCGAATACACTTTTGCAGCTAAATAACTAGAAATCCAAGGTGAAAGCGGTTCATGTTTTGCTGAAATTATTAACATAGGAATCTAAACAATAATACTTTTTGCACTATCAAAAGGAAATCTTAACTTTTAGCAGATATTTCTCCCAAATCGTTGACTCAAATATTCAAAACATCATGTACATTTAACTTTCTTAAAAACATTTAAGTAACACACCTGAAATAATAACATTTTTCCTAGAATGTTATATATAGAGCAACCGTTCAATGTTAGATTTTCAGCAAATGTGACATTTCCAGGCTACAAGTTACATAAAATTATTATTTCCAGTTCATTTACTCTATATTAGAAATTCATTTAAACATCTTAAATTTGGTAAAAAAGTCAATTAAAAAATCAATAACATTTTCAACAATTGAGACGCAAATTACAGAAATTGAAGTAATTAAAAATATTTAGAACAACACGGAAAAAGTTGGGTGAATGATCGAATTGTGTTATAAACTTGTATTGATTAAACTCTATGTATAATGATGGCATACATTTCGTTTTCAGATTGCGATGAACGTTTTTATTCCGTTAATTCTTCTATGGACAGGAAGCCAATCCGTGGCTCAAATTAACCTGGGAAACGGAGGCCAGTTTGGAAGTTTTTTTACTCCCGATAATGATTTGGATGACTACTGTTATCGACAGGATGAAGAACCTTACATATATTTTGGAACCAAAACTTCCTATGACAGTCTAACTAGAAGAGCTGGTCAGCAACATATCGTGCCTGGTCAGTAAATTGAAAATTTCAAACTAAATAATTTTGTTTTACAATTTTATTTTATTAATATAGCTTGTTCATCCACATAGCAAAAGACATCTGATACATTATAACATTTTTAGTTAGATAATTGTGTATACTTGATACAAGGTGTTCAAATAGCTCTTGTTCGAGGCATTCAAATCTAGAACTGTATTAGACAAAATATATAAGATTTTTATAACGTTAGGATGTCAACCAGTACAGTTTTGGTCTATTAACCGACATGGAACGAGGTTGCCAAAAGTGAAGAAGATTCAAAAGCTAAGAAAGCTTCAAGATGTAAAGGATGAAATCGTAAAGAATTATGAAGATAGAAAGTCCTATCCGGTTATAGGAAAGTTATGTTTTGATGATTACAATTTGCTACGAAGGTAGGTTTCAAAACTTCGCAAAATTTTAAATAGTTTTCATATTATGCAGCGTCCAAGTCCAAGTTTCCTCAAAACACTGACAGAAAATTGATCGTCTGTCGGTGTTCTGACGAAACATCAAATTAATTTTCTGGATGTTAAATAACTATATAATCTATGGTGAAAATATATCTCAAAAACGAAGAAACATGCTGGATCATTTTAATTCATTGTTGTTAATCTTGACTATGGTTTATGTGCTTTTTAGATGGCGCTGGAATGACACTATTACTGAAGACAAAGCCGCTGCTTTGACTCAACAAGGAATCAACGAGCTGAAACTATTAGCAAGAAGATACAAAACCAAATTTCCTCAACTTTTAAATCAGCCGTATAATGAACAAAACTATTATGTAGGTGACGATTATGAGTTTATGTTAATATTTTTCAATAAACTAATATGTTGCAATCAGTTTTTATTTCTAAAACTGTTAAAATCACTTTTCAAGCCGCACTTTGCTGTGAATCGTATGATACCGATTTTCGCAGATTGTCAGGAGATTAAATGTATACGTTTAAAAAATGCAAGAAGTAAAAAGGAAACAGAAACTGTGGATAAATAAACTGAACTAGTTTCGCCTAAACATTGACATCAGTACCACAAAAATTTAAAAAAGCAAAATTGTTCTTCATATTACTCAAATATAAAAATAGTTTAAATATTATAAACATAAATATTTTTTTTATTTTACGAAATTTTCGCCTGAACATTTATGAATGGTGGCGTTTGATTTTACAATGGTTACAAGGTTTATTAGACTTTAATTTACTTCCTTATCTATAATATAAAATACAGTATTTTGTATTTATTTGATATAAAAATTCATACAATTTGTTTGTAGTTTCAATATACTCAAACTGATCGAACACATGACAGCTACCAGGCTTATATCGAAGGGCTGTTTGACCGAGACTTTTTCAAGGTTCACGCAAACACCTATGGAAATGATATGCTATTAAAAGTAGGTACTTAATTTATGTTAATTTAGTTATTAATTACTAATTAATTAAGTTAAGGATGCTTATGTCTATGTTTGTTCAGGCTTTTGTCTTGGTGTCTTAAATGTATCTACTTAGCAGGCCAAATATTTTTTCTCTTAGTTACAACTTTTTTACTAATTCTACATTACAGTCAATCAAGACGTGATCGCCTAGAACATTTGTATAAAATATAATTAAATGTTTCTTGTAGGCATACAGAAATTGCAAGGAATGGCATGAAAAAAGCGACAAAAATCCCGAAACTAGTCAAGAATATCGGGCGTTCTTGGAATCGGAAGATTATCAAAAAATGGCGCGACAAGTTCTCAGAAGATTGGGATTCAGATCCGAACTGAACGTTTCCGTTATTCAAGATATTTATGACATGTGCCGTTTCAACAAAGCATGGTAAGCCCCAATATAAAACTAACTAATTAAAAAACACTTACTTTTCATTAAATTTGTTTTAGTATTGTTTGCTCTAGGTTTGTTGTTTGGTCTAATTAATACAATTTTTCATGTACCTACTTCAACATTCCTTTTGTGTGAAAATGTTCAACTTTTCTGCTGCAATTGATGTTATTCTGTTAAATTTATTTTTATTATTTTACGGTTTTAATTATACGAATTATGTCTAATTTAGGCAAGTAGATCAACCATCAGCCTGGTGTGTGGCTTTCACGAAAAGTCAACTAAAACTGCTTGAATATGGGGAAGATTTGAAAGAATACTACAATACTGGCTATGGGAATCCGTTGATTCAAAATATTGGTTGCGGTGCTGTCCAGGACATGTACAGGAAATTTGAGAAAACCGTGCAAGGAAAGTTCCAAAATATTGTTTTATCAATTAAAATTTGGACCTAAACATAAGTAAATTAATTAATTGAATATTTTAACTTTAGGATTTTCTGATGGCAATAAAGTAACCGCTCTATTTACTCATGCTGCTACAATGCAGGCTGTTTACTCAACATTGGGAATAGCGAAGGATTACGAACCCTTAAAGTCAGACAACTACAGAAAGCAGCAAAGGAGAATGTGGAGAACATCACTAATAAATCCTTTCGCAGCTAATTTAGTCGCAGTGCTTTATCAGTAAGCGAACACAATTTAATAAATTAAATAAATTTTGTTAATTTATATCGCATCCAGGTGTCAGAACGGTAATCAGCAGGGCAACAGCTTCAAAGTAATGTTTTTCCTGAATGAAATCCCCATAGAAGAATTCCTTGGCTGTTCTGTAGGTCTTTGCGATTGGGCCACGGTGGAAAAGAATTTCCAACAGGTGGTGGAAAATTGCAACGTTCAAGCTTTTTGTGATGGAGAAAGTTCGGCCAGTAGCCAAATTGGCTCTGCTTTATTAAGCTTCTTTGCAGTGTTAATGGCGGCCTTTAGACAACATTATTGGTGAATGAAAACATAAGTAGTAAAAAAATAGTGACAAATTGATATCGCAGTTAATATTAACGAGACTGTTATTTCAAACAACATCTTCACTTTTAAATGTTAGAGGAAATTTTTGTACGATTACTTGCATTTAGTAATTGGATCTGATGCGAAACCAAAGTTAGATTATAAAAGTAACAGTTGATGTAAATTTTAAAAAATATGTTTTTATAATTTTGCTCGTGAGTTGCACTTAGATAAGTTAGTGATAACTGACGTGACATTGTTTTATGACTGCTCCTAAGTATTCATAAATGGCACGTAGAAACTATGAATTAATTGAATAGCTTTACTTTTTCTACATTTTATAATTTTAATTAAAATTTCTTGCCTTCAGCTTGCAAATATTTTCATTTTTCTTAGGGGATGTTTATAATTCACAACTAAATGTATATTTATTTCAGATGTGGAAATCAGATTTGTCTAAAAGATAGTCCTTAATGTGAACATGACATTGAATGTTTTTATCTAAATTATAATATGTTTACCATATCGATAAAATGCTGACGAAACTCTTTATGTACATATAGACGCACTTGCAATATGTGCTTTCTTTAATATTTACATTGACAAATTATGATCAAAGTAGATTTATGAGATGCGGGGATAATAAATGTTAAAAATCAGTTTTGCAGTATTAGCCAATAAATAGCGATTAAAATGGTAACGTATAATGATGGTTACAATAAGAGTTCTAGACTATAATAAGTAGTAATATTTGTTGTCTTATTTAACAGTAGTACAAATATACATGTGCATGTTTAAATAAAGTTGTTTTAGCAAAAAAGGTTTTTTTATGCAAAATAAGCATTGGAAACTAGAAAAGATGAGTTAATTGACCCAAACATACCACATAATATTGGTCTGACTATTGGGTAAAAATTTTGAAAAATAATACAACACAAGAACTCGAAAATCACTTGCCAAATAAATTAGCATGCTAATAATACAAAGGTAATTTTTCAACAGCAAATTGGTAAAACGCAAATGATAATCCGATGTTCTTGAATAAAATTTAACTGTTTAACTGACTGACTTTGTTAAGCTAAGCTAAGTCAAGTTCAATCAATTGAATAAAATTTCTTGACTAAACGAAATAAAAAATAATTGAGTTACAATTTGTTAAGACAAATTTTATTTAATTTTTAAAATAAATCAGTCTTAATTAAAAATAAAATGACAATAGTTCTGAGCGACCAATGATTGATTAAATAGTATTTTGCAATCACGTATTAAGCTAAACACTTCAAAGACTGACGATTTGTTCAGATCTTAATTTTGGGTTATAATACTATTGTTTCGTTTCTTCTTTGAGATCTCTTTTGCTTTGTTTCATTTACGTTGTATTATTATTTATATTATCTGAAATTATTATTTGAAACCATTATGGCAATTTTATTAAATAATGGAAACCCAAAAATTGTGCAAGAAACGTGACTGGCAAGCAATCCAACATGAAATTTTGTCAATTTCTACAAATACTTGATAACTGAAAAGTGACTGGCAAGCAATCCAACATGAAACTTTGTCAATTTCTACAAATACTTGACAACTGATTGGTTTCATTATGTTTCTGGTTATTTTGAATGGAGGAAATCGGTCAAATATTTTTGTAAAGGAAAATTATTTTTTCTATGAATACATGCTAATGTTTTTCAAAATAATGACAGCAAACTTCTTCAAATTTTTCCTTATTTTTTTCTTGCATTAAAATGCTTCAAAAATAGTAATTTTACTGAGGTCAAAAGTTGAATAATACATGACTTATCCAACAATATCAAACTTTTATGTAGTTGCATCACGAATTTATAGATCACAAATAGTTGCAGTTTTGAAAAATATACCGACTATAAAACATGAAAAATTGTATTTATTAATTATAATCAGTCTGGAGATGGCATGATTGACAAAATATTATCATATTTATTTTATTATTTATTATAGATACTGCGGTTGTCGTTTCCATTTGCATTATTAGTAAATTTGTCACAATTTTCTTAAATACATATTTTAAATATCTTATTTTTTATCAATCTATATCTATATCTTAAATACCTTATTTTTCATCAAATAACGGCAAACATTTTTTCAGTAAAAATAGGAAAGATTTTGTGTTTTTTATTGTGATGAGCTTATGGACATCTAAAAGCCTGTAATGAATCTGTACCTACCCGATTTTGCTATTCAAAATATTATGTAAATACCAAATACTTTAAAAGAAAATTGTAACAATTCCTGAAGTTTCAGTATCCGGATAATCAGGGAATTTAGAAACGACTGTGTCCCAATGTTTATACAAGGTATTTCGTAAACCATGAGCAATTTCTGGGATAACAATCGGTTAAAATAGAGCTAAAAATATTTATAACTATAAGTCTGGAAATCTATAAAATGTAGAAGATTTGAAAAATTATGTTTTCTTCATGCTGCGTGTCGGTAGTATTTATGCGATACTAAGGGTAATTAATAGAATGTTCGATTTAGGAATTTTACGTCACTGTTTGTAAATGTTGAATGATACGTTTTATTGCGTCAACAAAGTGAACTCAATGCATGTATTTCAATATTAGAACAATGATGAAAAAATTATCAAAAATTTGTTTGCAACAGTTTAGTTCCAATCCGTAATAACGTCGCTCTTAAGCGGACACCCGAAACACGAAAACATTTTCTTCTTTTGGTTTTCCCATGTTTTGTTAAATGAAAGCCAGAAAATAGCTTCTATATCGAACGCGCGATTTAACTGGTATAACCCACCTTCAATAGCGGGCTGAACTGGATAATTGATAAAGACCTACACATTTTCTGTTACTTTCATACCAGGAACTTTTCAATACATTTTAAGCTTGTAAATTATAACTGCCAATTCGGTTTATGCTTCTTGACTCACATTGACTCGAAGTGCTAATGTTTTCTTAATATAATAACTAGATTATGTGAAAATATACGATTCACAGAACGAATTAAATATAATTAACCACAAAAATATCACTTTCTTTCACTCTAATATAATAAGAAAACAAGCAATTGATTGTCGATTTGAAATCAAACGATCTTGCTCAATACACCGTGTCCAAATTCAGCGATCTGTTAGTTTCTTTTCCTGTTGACCATTGTCACACCAACATTTACAGTGCAAACGAAGAAAACACCATTTGCTAGGCTATATTGAGAAATGGGCAATTAGATGCCCTACGTGCGTAAACAACAACATTAACAACCAGGAACAGTTTGAAAAGTTACAGTCGAAATTGTTGTTTCTTACGGTATCGGCCGGAAGTCTTTAGTATTTAGTCCAGTTCACAGCAACGATTTAAGTGCAATAAGCAAAAAATGTGTAAAATTTTCAGTGAGTTGTTTGAATGGTTTAAATCGCGGGACATTTTCGATATGATGGAGCACTAATTCGCTGTATTAGAAGTGACTTCCTCAGTGTCATCGGAATTTTAAATTCGTACAAAATTAACGAAGTTATCACCGTTCTCAACATGTGTCTTCTACACTTACTCAAACTCCACATTTCAACTCGGGGCTTGCACAGTCCAATTGGAAAATCGAATAAATCTTACTACCGAAGAAATCCGGTTATTTTTGAAGAACCAGGAGCCTCCCAGCACTCAGAGTGCGTAGTAGTGAATTTTGAGGACGACTTTGCCTTTAAAGCAGCGGCACGATCAGGATTTGTCTTGGAGGATTATTTGGTGGATTGCACGGAATTTCATGCAACACTTGCAGAACAGAGCAGAAGGTAAAAATGTAAACAAATAATCTCATTACGTGAACAGTAATTATTATTGAAATGAGTGCGAAATTTATTTCAACTCAAGCATCCTTTAAAGCTAGATAAATTGAGGCTTACATGTTAATCAGCAGAATTGTCTGGATTACGCTAAAGCTGCAAAAATTATCAGTATTTTATTGACTAGATCTGCATGCTCAAAATATGATTGCTGACTCCTTTGGATATTTGTTACTTTGTCATCAATTTGATTGAGCATATGAGATCTTGATTTACTCTTATTCTAGTTGTTCAGATCGCTTTACTACTTTTTTATTTTATCACTAACTTGTAACACCTTTTATTACTTTGACAAAACTTGCATAGATTGGTTTATTCTTATATTTGATTGTTGAAATTTCTTTTTAGACTAGTGTGTTTCTGGTTTCAAATATTCGAATTAAGAAAACTTCTGGTGCATTTATGCAAACTGGTTTTATTCATTAACATATTGTTTGCCAAGTAGAACAAAAGAAGTTTTCATTCTCACAAAATATCAAAATTAATAATAAATTTAGACTAAAACCGATGAAATGAGAAAATTTGTTTGTCAAAAAATATTATTTGTTCAACAGTATAAAACTTTAATAGAAAAACGATTCAATTAATTTTGAATTAATTCGAAGATTAGATGGAAATAATACGTTCACAATCATACGGGAAAAATTATTTGGCAACGCCTTGCTTTTACATTACATTTTTTGTAAACAACAACATTTAAAATGTTCATTATCAATTCCGATGTTTAAGAGATTCAGCTTGGGTCAGAAAATAATTCGAATTTGTGTGAAAAATTATTAAATAACGAAGAGTCAAAATTAATAATATATTTCAAATAAAAGCGATGAAATTCCAACATTTGGAAAAGTCAAATTTGCTCATCAGTGTTATACGATAATAAAAAAAACCTTCAAACATTTAATAATATAAAAATGTTGTTACAAACATCCTTTTGTAATGGTTGCTTGTGACACAGCTAAAAATTTTAAATCTAAGTTTTTTCGGTTTGATTACTAAATACATACACAAAACGTATACGATATTTTCTCCAATTATTTTAAAACAAACGTTAATGGTATGTTTTCGTTAGCAACTTTTACTAAAATTATATTTAATTATGAAAGAATTGGTAAATTTACGTTTTTAAGAATCCGTTCCTAGACATAACACATTTACCTTCAAAATATGAAAACTCTATAATTTGTGTACACGACCTAAGAATTTTTGTGCAAAAATATGGTCTACTTAAATTTTATTTTATAGTTGGTTACAAATTCAAGTTTAAAATATTTTTCCAAAAATCGCCTTATTGCTTATTTATTATCAAATTTCAATCTTACATTTTTCTTGATGAACTCGAGTTAAGAAGAATGCAATCAATCAAATAGGATTTTTTTCAAAAAATTTTCAACTTAATTTAATTCATTTCCAACAGCAAATTCCACTTGCACAACCAATATTTCATTCATTTCACCCCGTCATAAAATATTTGCAATAATAATTTTACACAGACAAGTAAAGATAATGAAAATTGAATATTTAATTATAACTTGTCTAAAATTTCAGGGGAACATTCAAAAATCTTAATATCAAAACAATTATCAAATATTTTCTCAATCAGACAATCCGTAAGCCTAGAAATTATTTTCTGCAAACCCGATTGAAGCAACAGAAAATTACCCATCATCGAACATCATTAAGACTTTGCGCAACCACCATTGTTGTGATATGTAATTTTTAGATTTTTACCGAGAAATTATCGTTTCAACATACAAAATAAACAATATTTTCTTGGTAAGTAGTATGTATTTATGTTTTTGGTAAAGAAACAACGTCAAGAGCGAAAAATGTCAGTGGTGGTTTTGGTGTCGCGAATCAAGCTTTGTTCAGGTGAAGCAATATTATTTGCAGGGTTTGTTGTACAATTTTTAAATTATGTTTCACTTTTTGAAGAATTTGAGTTTTATTAGTCATTTGAAACACATTTCCACATTAGTAATTTACCTTCAATTCTTCAACTTCTTCTAG